GGGTTATGATGAACAAAGGCTCGGCAATGACTGGAAACTCGATAGGCTAGGAAGCGTCTCACCGAGTAATTCCAAAGAATAGTGTGGACGAAGTGATCTAGGCAATTGCACTCAGATTACACTTCAAGGGAATGGATTGGATGGGATAGATGACACCACAAAGAGGGATGGATGATCTCTTTGATATCGTCAGTAGGGCCTTGGCTAGAAATCAAGAATCTCACTCAATACTAGCTCAAGAACTCAGATTGCTTGCAGAATTTCAAGACAATTCGAGAGAGAATAAGAAATAAGTACTCAAAGTTTTTATTATCATCAAATCTGCTGGAAAAAGTTAAAATACAATAGCTTAAATAGAAAAGGATAGGGAAAATACAAAAGGACCAGATTCAAGAATCCTCATCTGTTATCATGTTATTATGATGAGGCGATGTAAGAGATTGAAAGGCCTTAAAAACAATCAGCATCAAAGCAATTAAGACTCTCACTCATATGAACCCGTTCCAGGAGAATCAATGCGTTTTGGTGTAAAAAAGAAACATTTCTGGCTGAACATTGTTTCTTTCAAGAGTAAGCAACAGACACCTATGAGAAACATGATACAGACACAGCTATAAGAAACTTCAAAGCTAAATTCTACCCGGAATCTGCCATAATTTGATAACTGTGAAAAACTTGGACAAAGTAACAATGAAACAAGGATCACGAACAGAAGAATGACAAGGCTGAATCTGAAATAAGCCATGAATCCTCTAGGAAACTCTTGAAAAACAGGAGACTAGCGATATAGAGGCTAATATGCCAAAGGAGACTTGCTAAGAACAGTGCATCTAGTTATGTTAGCGATTTCAGAGCAAGAAATATCAAAGTTAAGCACCGATTTTGATTCACACACCATACATCTATAGTTCCAATCTATCATCCGAATCCCCTTTCCCTTGTGAGTGGTGGGTCAGGAATTATCGGAAAGACTGGTTCATTGGTTGTCTCTCCTTGCTTGTCCTCCTCCTTCGCTCCTTTGTGCTCCTCAGCTCCTTTGTGCGTTCCATGGTTTCCTTGCTCTGCTTGCTCCTCGTTTAGCTCATCTAAGTCGATGACCTCATCAACAACTAAGCGAGCCTTATAGGCTTTTTTCTAGGAGAAAGTGTCTCCAAATTGCAAGTGTCATTGCCTTCTAACGTTTTGATTTCTGTTTCCATTTCCTTATACCAATTCAGATTTGTAAGCCTACTTGCAAGACTTAGGTTCCCAAACTTCAGTAATGGTTGCAAGAAACGCATGGTGTGGTAAAGAAAACTTATCATATGTTACATAATTAATAATAAGATAAGAGGTAGAAGAGTCTAATATAGAATAAAGATTGTTAGTAATGGATATGCATTGAGTTGTATAGGTGACATGGTTTGAGAAGCATGGACGACTGACAAATTTGATTACCACACGTCCAAACTAGACCAGTGTAGATTACTAAAGTGAGGTAGACACAAGATCCTCAAACTTAAAGAGAGTGACATCTTTAAAAGATGCTTCGAGTGGAAAATGAACGGTCTCTAATTGTGAAGATGTCGTGATGATAGGATCTGAAGAAGTTAACGTGATAGGCTCAGATGAGTCGACAGTTGGGAGGAGGGTAATTGATACTGGTATGGTTAGATCCGTAGTCGAGGCGAAACTCCACAAAAGCATCACCCAAAAATCCATTCTAATGTACAATGGTGTTCATGACAGCTCTCGCATGAAAATACTCTTTAGGCTAGACATCATAAACATGCTATGTTTTTTTGACCTTATAGATACCCTAGGAAAATACATTTTTGACTTCGTGGACCAAATTTATCCGTCTCTCAAGTTTAGTTGTGAATGTGAACAAAATATAAACTAAACACCCAAATACTCTTAGTTGAGTGTAATAGCAAAAATGTTTTTCTATTATTGATGATTAAAAGATTACACCCTAATATATAACAAAATACAATAGAATATTCTAGATATAATATCTAGGATGAATCATAACCATATTAATGATAATATTCTAGGAATAATATCTTTCTATATGTCCCTCAAGATGAATCATCTATGATGAATTCAATCTTGTTACATAAAAACTGAAAATTGAAATTGTGATTGTATTAAACGAATCATCTTTCATGTGATGTTGTGGCTCAGACTTCAGTCGGTATTGCACGCTTCATAATGTTTTGAAGAGCTTGAGAGTTGTAGTCTCAGAGACTGATATGACATGAAAGTGTGACACATATGCGTAAATTAGGTTGCACGACAAAGAGGTCGGCAGTGCAAAAAATTGCGGTGTATATAGCAGCTAGGCCGAAGAGAAAAAAATAAGGACGCAAAAAGCGTGACACATAATGCGTGATAGTTTAGCAGTGAGGCCGCTGAAGATAAAAAAAAGTAACAGCAAATACGTGGATTGACGATTGGAGATTTTCAATCAAAAGGGGTTAAAAACCAGGTTTAAAGATCTCACAACGGTTAGGGTTGACGTCGATAAAATGAACGTCGTCAAAAAAAAATAGCACATCAACTAGGGTTAACAGTGATGAACACCGCCGTCGGGAGAAAAAAAACTAGAAGAAATAAAAAAAGAGCAAAATGAATACAAGACGATACTCAAGGCGATTGTACTATTGAATTTAATATATCATCGTCATCTTTATCATCGTTTTCGGATTCAACCAACATTATTGATGAGGAAAAAAAAATCTAGAATAAAAACCAAAGCTCTGATACCATATATAATAAGGAAAATGTTTTTCTATTATTGATGATTAAAAGATTACATCCTAATATATAACAAAATACAATAGAATATTCTACATATAATATCAAGGGTAAATCATAATCATATTAATATTAATGATAATATTTTATGAATAATATTTCCTATAGAGTGTAGGTCGGTGACTTCGAAAATATTATCTCACCTGGTGTTTTCTTCTAATAAGACGGATGAAGTACAATTAATTAAATACACCGCAATGAGCAAACTGTCTGTCACCGAAATGGAGCAGCGACGGCAATTTTAAGTAAAAACCCTAGAAGACGATGAACACTGTGTTTTTTTCTTTTTTGACGATGAACACTATTTTTCCTTCGTTTTTGGTTTTTGAAATTTAGAAAATAGCAGAGTCTGACACCATGGCAACTATTTTAGAAAAAAATGATTTGTTTTTTTTTTTACGAAATGATTTGTTGTCGTATTAAATGAAATATAATATATACTAATTATCAAATCCTATTAGAAACCTAATTTAGTACTAGTATATATCCATAATATCCGTGTATATCCGCAATACCATAAATGCATGCGTATGTACATGCATATGTCCGTCGTAACGCACTCACATAAAATATATATACACACGTTTTCCTAAAAGGGATATATATATATATCTGTAATACCATAAATGCATGTGTATGTACATGCATACATCCGTAACGCACTCACATAAACTATATATATACACACAAGTTTTCACAAAAAAAAAAAAAAAAAAAAAAAACCAGAAGAAAAA